GCAGCAGAAAGTAAAAGAATAAATAAATAAAAAAGTCAGTAAGTAACAAAACAAATTACAATAAAAATAAAAAGTATTGAAGGGTAACAAATAAATATATAAAACCTGTCAGTTGCCACACATATTTAATATTGTCTTAGGTGGTTTTGCTTTCCGGTCCTCGCGTGAAGACCTCGGCGGGCTAAAATTGACCAGAGACCTCAAAGACGAAATTACCAGACACCTGGAGCGAAAGGCGACGAAGAGAAGAGATAGCATGGGAACGAGATTGATTTACAGTTTGATGTTCCTAGATAATAATAGCCTGCGATCATGGTCTCCCTGAAAAAACGTAAAAAGCCTGTTCAAAAAAAAAGACGATGAAACATGAGAAAGTATAGCTTTACACTATTTCCTTGTTTTTGTTTTCGTCTTTTGTGGCTATGGTTTATTTGTATTTTTGGATTATGTTTCAGTTTTGCGGTTTAATTTTGTATTTTTTTGTGTGCGTTTCCGGTTGGGGATGGTTATTTCCGTATTGGGATTTGCGTTTCTGTTTGATAGTGTTTTTCTGTTTTGGGTTTTCGTTTTGTCTTAAGTCTTTCTGTTTTGGGTTTGTTCTCTCCTATTTTTGTTGTTGTTGTTGTTTTCTTGTGGTTTTTTGTTTCTATCGGCCACCCTATATATTTGATAGTCCTCTCCATTTAAATCCAACCACTGGAGAACACTTCAAACTCCGTCGCAAATTTCTTCACAGATATCAAATCGTTCAGGTAAGAAATAATCTCCTTTAACTTGGAATTTTCCCAAGCAGATATTTCTGCAAGGTTCATTTTGATTCCTGCTGTAGTTTTTTCCTCTCTTTTTTACTTAGAAATAATTAATAATAAGTTTAGACCGGTTTGCGACCGCGAAGCAAAGTATGTTTGTTCCATGTTAAGCAAAACACCCGACTACAATATTGTTTTGGCCGATTTGTGTTTCTCTCCCTTCGTTGTCTCCTTTGTCCGCGTCTCTCTTCCACTTTCCTTCCCCCCCCCCCTCCCCGCCCCTAAAAACCCTCACCCCTACCCCTCCTCACACAAGCAATGCCGGATATTCAGGATAATTTGTGTTAAATGTGGATCTCTCATGTTGTAGACGTCACAGATTTATAATAATTTTCGTTTTTATTATAATAGCTAACGAAGAAAGACCTGCTTTCTACATATAAATTTGTGAAACTAAGTCTTGCATCGATCAATAGGAAATTGAGGTCATGATTTTAGTTAGTCAAGAAATCTTTCCTCAAACAGCTGCCTTTAAAATTTATTCATTGTGGAGTGGGACTATGTAAATTATAATGCCACAAAGTATTTCAGGAAAATTACTTTTTATAGATTAAATGGCTTGTATTTCTGCTCTATATAAGGCAAACAATTTAAAATTTGTTGTGGTTTGCTACTTTGTGGTCTCGCTGAAATTTGCATGTAATGTAATCGTCGCCAGGCAGCGGACTCATTTTTGAGGATTAGACCTAGCCCCATTTCTCTGGACTTAACCTGCGTACAGCCACAACCTCTCCTTAGAAAATCTTTTTTTTTTTTCTCTGACGGGACGACGCCTGTATGCAGACTATTTGGGTGGAAACAATTTATGTAAACTAGATGAGGAGAGTGTTGTGACTATAATAATAGAATCATCAATGCACGGTTGCACAGTGAGAAAGCCGTATAACCTTAGTGTTTTCCTCTTAGTGTTTTTGATATTTTTTACCATGTAAGAATTTTATAATTTCAAAAGTGAGAACAGAAGTTAATTGGACTTAACTTTGGGCCTTTTGCGGTTTCTCCTACCATATGCATCCATGCACGGGTATTCTCAAACTGTACAATAAAGTCACAAACAATAAAAATATTTCTTTGAGCTGCATGTTCTGCTATAAAAACCTTGAGGATAGAGCTAATAAGAAATGACTCTTAAATTGGCTGAAAATGTTCCGATCCACACATTAAAGGTCGCAATTATTCAAAACCGTCAAAATTGACCTAAAAATCGACTTCAGAGAACTCGGCTTCAAAAGGCCGATCTATACCTCAGACCAAAACAGCGACAATCGAGCTAAAACATTGGCATAATGCGGATGTCTCCATAGTAACTAAGTGTACCCAATTTGACCAAACTCTACCGACACCTATTTCCACACAGTAATTTTCAAGGAGTTATAACAACTCCTCTAGAGGGTTAATTTAACCCCTTACAGTGCATGGAGTTATTTTGGGGGGAGTTACTTTAACTCCAAAAGGAGTTTGAAGAACTCTTTTTCAGGAGTAAAAATGACCCCAGATATTGAGGAGTTAAAATAATCCCAAAAAAGGAGTTATCCTGTACCTAAAATTTTTACTCCACTTTCAGAGTCAAATAAACTCCAAAAAGAGTAAAAACAACCCATGTAAGGAGTAAAAATAACCCCATTTTCGGAGTTAATTAACTCCAGACTGGGAGGAAAAAGAACTCTCTTTCAGGAGTAAAAATGACCCCAAATGTGGAGTTAAATTATAAAAGGGGTTAACCTGTGCCTTAAATAACTCCCTAAAAATTACTGTGCAACCCTAACACACTCTCTTAGGCAGAAGCTCTTAACTACATTTTCATTTGGTATCACAGATTTCAAAAATGATTAGTTTTTGTACTTAATGTAACCTTTCTTTGTTTTCTGAATAATTAGGTATGGTACACAAATATGACTTTTTGAGTATTTCAATCTTAATTTATAGAAAAAAGTTTAAACCTGAAATATTGTGTTATAACAGACAGAATAATTCCGAAGAAGCGTCAATTAGATTAAATCTGGGGAGAAAGGAGTGGAAAGTTCTATCATGTCTTATCTGTCAAATGGGGACATATTCTAAGACTTCAAATGTATTAGCCTAAGAAAACATCCGTTTCTCCTCGCTCTTCGCTGCTAGGGACGTTTCGCGCGAAGGAACGTCTGCGACTCAGCGACAGAAATTCCATACTGATAACGCAAATCAATGTTTACATAATAAATCCGGTAGTCATGGGGTTCCAAATATAAATCTGTCTAATTTTACGTGTCTTCTGGTCGATTTTGGTAAAGTGTTTTGCTTATCTGCCAACGAGCTCCAGCAAAACTCAAATGCTTCTTCTAGAGAAGACTATATTCCACAAATATTGACTGTTTTGTTACAGATTCTTTGCGTTTACATTTGACCTTTGTAGCCTTTTGTCTTTTGTCTGTCATTTGTAAACAATAGCTTAAACAATGTAACTACTCCGTCGACCAATCAGCGCTTCTGACCGGATTCTGGACAGATTTTACGTCATCAGTATGGAATTTCTGTCGCTGAGTCGCAGACGTTCCTCCACGCGAAACGTCCCCAGCGGCGAAGAGCGAGGAGAAACGGATGTTTTCGCAGGCTACAAATGTATTAATGAGAATTATTTTTGTTTTTTCTCCACCTCCACGCTCCATTAAAGAAACCCTACTGCAAAGGGACAGTCCACTTTCACTACTTAAATTTCGAAATGGCAGAAAGAATACTACAAGATATAGCTGAACAAAAGAAGCGTCTTACAAAAGCGCAAATCAGTAAAAACACGGCAGAGAAAGCAGATGCCTACTACAATCTAGGCACTGCTTATTACTTCCTCGAGGACTTCCATCGAGCAATAGAGTACCTCAAGCAATACCTGAGCATTGCTGAGGAAGTCGGTGACAGAGCAGGTGCAGGACGTGCCTATGGCAATCTCGGCTGTGTTTACAGATCCCTCGGTGACTCTCAAACAGCACTAGAGTACCAGAAGAAAAGCCTGAGCATTGCCAAGGAAGTTGGTGACAGAGCAGGTGCAGGACGTGCCTATTGCCATCTCGGCTGGGCTTACCAATCCCTCGGTGACTCCCAACGAGCAATAGAGTACCACAACCAGCACATCAGCATTGCCAAGGAAATTGGTGAGAGGGCAGAAGAAGGATGTGGCTATGCCAATCTCGGCGATGCTTATGAATCCCTCAGAGAATTCCAACGAGCAATAGAGTACCACAATCAACACCTCAGCATTGCCAAGGAAGTTGGTAACAGGGCATGTCAAGGCAAAGCCCTTGCCAAGCTCGGCTTTGCTTATTGCAGCCTTAATGAATTCCAAAGAGCAATAGAGTACAACAATAAATACCTCATCATTGCCAAGGAAGCTGGTGACAGGGCAGGGCAAGGGCAAGGCTATGGCATTCTCGGCAATATTTATTTAGTTCTCGGCGAATACCAACGAGCACTAGAGTACACCAACAAAAGCCTCATCATTGCCAAGGAAGATGGTAACAGGGCAATGGAAGGCGAAGCCTATTCCGTTCTCGGCCCTACTTATCTCAAACTTAATGAGTTCGAACGAGCAATGGAGTGCCACAAGAAACAGCTGAGCATTGCCAATGAAGTCGGTGACAGAAGAGGAAAAGGACTTGCCTATTTAAACATCGGCGAAGTTCATAATTCCCTCGGCGACGTGCCACGAGCAATGGAGTACTACAAGCAATCCCTAAGAAATGCCGAGGAAATCGGGGACAGGGATGGACAAGGACATGCCTATTGCCACCTCGGAAGTTGTTATGCACGTCTCCACGACTTCAAGGAAGCAATAGAGTGTTACAAGCAACACCTGAGGATTTCCGAGGAAATCGGGGACAGGAAGGGAGAAGCGTGTGCCCATGTCGGTCTGGGTCAATCTTTTTTGCATTCATATTCCTTGAATGAGGCTTTAGAACATTTTAGATGCAGTGTAAAAGTCTATGACACCATTAGAGCCAGTTCTATCTCGGAAGATGAATTGAAAATAAGTTTCCGTACGCAACATCAATTTGCCTATACTCATTTATGGTACGTTTTAGTAATGCTTGAAAGGAATGATGAGGCCTTATACGCTGCTGAGAGGGGACGGGCACAGGCTTTGCTCGATGCCTTAAAAGTAACTTATGGCCTTACATCACCTTCTCCCAGGTCAATTGAATCTGAAGAAGAAGTCAGAAATATTTCAAGGAAGACAACTGCTTTAACAGTTTTTCTGGCCCTTCATTTGAAAACAGTCAATATCTGGGTGTTGGGAAAAGAGGGCAACCCTATCTTTAGGCAAGCAGAGATAGAAATTGGTTGTGAACACGAAGATTCCTTTACTCTCCTTTTAGACACTGTTTTGAAAAACATTAGGGATGGCGTCGGTATTAGGTGCGAAAATCGGTCAATGGATAAGCTGAGTGATGACTCAACTCCCTCAAGTACTCGAGAAGACAATCAAACATCGGAGCCATCACAGGAGACCACCGACTTTTTACAGCCATTATATGATGCAGTTCTTGGTCCCATTGAAGACTTGCTTGATGGTGATGAACTAATTGTAGTCCCCGATGGTGCTTTGTGCTTAGCTCCCTGGGCAGCCTTAAGAGAATCGTTAAGAATCCGTATGGTTCCCTCACTGAGAAGTTTGGAAGTCATCACAGATTCGCCATGTGAATACCACAGTCAAAGTGGAGCCTTAATTGTCGGAGACCCATGTTTGGAGAAAGTTACAAATAAATGGGGCAACCCCATTTATGAGCAGCTGAAGTACGCAAGAATGGAAGTGGAGATGATTGGAGAAATTCTCGAAAGTCAACCTTTAACAGGTAAAGATGCAACCAAAGAAGCGGTACTTCAGAGAATCGCGTCAGTTGCTTTGGTTCACATCGCAGCCCACGGAAGGAAGGAGACTGGAGAAATTGTTTTGGCTCCAAACCCCCGATCGGGATCCAAGCCTCCTACGGAGGAGGACTATATTTTGAAAATGTCTGACATACAAGCTGTTAGGCTGAGGGCGAGGCTTGTTGTGCTTAGTTGCGCCCACAGTGGTCAAGGAAAGGTATCGTCTGAGGGTGTGGTCGGTATGGCGCGTGCTTTTTTGTTCGCTGGTGCTCGTTCCGTGCTGGCGGCGCTTTGGGCAATTGATGACGAAGCCACAATGATGTTTATGAAGTCTTTCTACCAACAACTTGGAAGTGGAGAAATTGCAAGTGTTGCTCTTCAGAGGGCCATGAAATGTCTTCGAGACTCCCACGATTTTTCTGCCCCGAGGTATTGGGCTCCATTTGTTCTGATTGGTGATGATGTTAAGATTGAATTGAAGAAGAAACATTGAGAAAATCGTAAGTAGAGAGTTTTTATTACTTTTTCCTTGCTTTTCTTTATTAAGGGTCCTAGAAATAGAAGGCTGAAGAATAAAAGTCTGAACTATTATTTTCAACTCGAAATGTAAGAACATTGGCAGACTTGATAATTACTGGTAAAAAGAGAAATATATACACAATAAGGATAGGTGTGGTAAGTATGTACCGTTAATGGATTCACACAATCACATGTTATTCCTACCAAGCAAATCGTTTAGAAATCATTCAAACACTAGATAACCCTTAATTTTCTCAATTCTTAATTAATTTAGGGACAATATATATGAAAGATACATTTTGCAATAAGCTGCCTTCGTTTTCTTAGAGTACTGTCTAGCTCTATATGTTGATCAATAATTAAGAGCTTCATGAAAAACAAATATGTCTAATATATTATTTGCCATTTTTCACATCATCATTCACCTCAATTGTTACTTTCTTTACAGGGATGAGCTGAAAGTTTGATGTCAACACAACTGCTGAAATAGGGTGTATATATCTGGATTTCCCCAAAGAAAGGAGTTCGTTATTTAATAGAGGAATGTCCGCAATGGGGCATTTGGTAAAAAAGCGTGCTTTCATTTTAGTCATTTTTTCAGAAGATATTGAATAGAGAAATTTAGAGCCACGCCAACGGCGAACGGCAAACGTCAGCAAATTCAAGTTAAGAATTTCTCAAAATAGAAAATATGCAGATAAAATGAATATAGCTCAAAGCAATTCTTATGGATAAAACTAACTTGAAACTAACAATTTTTGTAGATTTAATTAGCAGCAAACGAGAAGTAAAGGGAACACTTGGTCACGTGGTACAAATCCACGCTTTGCCGTAAACGTAACTCTAAATCTCTCTAATTAATACTCATCAAAAAAACGTTTTTAAATCAGTCACGGCTACACTTGTTAATTTTAAAATATATACACAATAAGGATAGGTGTACCGTAGTAACCGACGCTCACTAAACTTGCCTCAAAATGCGCGCGAGGAATAAACGAACAGCTACTCAAAACGTCAGGTGCTGATGTTTTATCGTCTAAAAAAATCTAAGAAACCTCAGAGGGGGGGGAGAACCCCCCCTTGTACATCCGAGGGTCAAGAATCCCAACGGGACGGAGACGAACCAATTAACTATTTACAAGCGTGGCCGAGGTTTCAGTAGAGTGATTCAGATTTTAATCAGATAACTTTAAAATTTTAAGTATGCACTGTAAGTATTTTGGTCACAATTCAGTGGTTTAAGGTTAAAAGGGTGTGTTACGTTTTCTATGATTGATCCCCGGTTTCTCAGAGCTAGTATTATTTCATGAAAAAATGAATATGTTCATGTCTTGTTGATCCTTTATGTATAAATTGGTGAACAGTACAAAATGCAGACTACAGATCATTGTTTTCAGGGTTAGAAAACAATGGGACTATCAGTGGCTTCATAGCTTAGTTGGTTAGAGCATCGAACCGGTATCGCGAGGTCACGGGTTCAAATCCCGTTGAAGTCCTGAATATTTTTTTCTTCCTTCTTACTCAATTATTGCATAAATTGCGTTCACAACTGCGAGTATCATTCTTCAGTTGATTTCATTTCCGCAGTTCTCATATATGATTTATTTCATATGCATTTGTCAATGGGACTATTGTTGTCACGTTCCCATTTGCATGGTGAAAACAATGTTTTGCACTGAGAGCAGTCTGCATTCTGTACTGATGTTATAAATCGGGACACACATTGTGTCACTTAATTAAAACTGCTTTTAAATTCAAGTAAAATGGGATTTCAGGGGCGAGTTTAACTTATATGGATAAATTATTAGCGTTTCAAACAAAGAGTAAACATTTTGCCTTCCATGTTTGGGAATAAATATGCTCGTATTTTTAAGAGTAAGTTTTGGACGATACATTGAATATTCTGCGCAGAGACGACAGCGAGTGACCGCTGGCGAATTGGACCGTCTAAGAATCATTAGAGTGACTTTTGCCTTATTTTAATAACCCTTTTTTGGGAAAAGCGTTGCCAGATAGTCCTTCCTTGCCTGCAAACAAAGGAAAAAGATTTATTTTCCTTCTCTATTAATTTTTCCACCACCACTTCCTTGTAGAGCTGAATCCGCCTCTGTCTCTGCACTCGTAGACTATTTGTTCTGCCGTTAAACTAGGTTTAACTCTTAATCTTGTTTCTTAATTAATTACTGCAAGTCATTTTAATCATAGAAAACGTTTTCGTGTACTATTGCGTTAATGGTCCAACAGCTTTAATTGATATCGACTTGAAAGTATCCAAACAGTGGAAGAGATTAAATTAAGATTTTGGACACTCCAATAACTTAATGATGTTTTGTTATAATTGTGCTAGGTTGTAAAAGGTTGGGCTTTTTATCAAATAGATCAGTTCCAAAACACGTATACAGAAACGTTCTGAGGTTTGGCGTTAGGAAATAACAGTAATCGTTCAAGCTATCATCATTCTATCGAGAATCTGACCTATTTTTACTGGTTCTAGATCCCTTTTCTCTAGACCATTGACTTTTAGCCATTACTCAGTTATTTAAAGAAACTGCTCTAATTTAGGGATGTCACCATTAGAAAAAAAGGATAGGAGGTTGGGGGAAGGCAAACGCATTAGTAAGAAAAAAGTCTCCACACGCACCATGATCAAAAAAGCTGTTCGAGAAGGAAAAATAGATTTCCACCTCAGGGGTAAAAAGAAAACTTTCATAGACCTCCCAAGAATTCAACCCAGCCCCTTTACTTTCCTAATGGTTCATCCCTTATACCGCCGCATGTAACGGAATCCGGAATCCGGGAAAAATTTGCATGTGGAATCCGGAATCCTGGGTTTTGGAGTCCGGAGTACAGCTCAAAGAATCCAGAATGTCACTAGCAATTGGAATTGAGAATCCAAGTTCCACTGACAAAGACTGGAATGGAGTACCCGCAATCCGGAATCCGTGACGTGGAATCCAGAATCCCAGACTATCGTGGATTCTCTTACATGGGGTGACTTATAGGTCGGCTTGTTGAACTGCTTCTACTTGCTCCCAACACGTAGCACGATACAATGTTTAGTTTCTGATGTTGCCTTCAGATAAGTAATGTTGTATTAAACCTGAAGAAAACGAGATGTTTACTGTGATTGTTGATCTCTTCATGCCTTAAACCATTTTAAAACAACTTCTCTTTGAATTGGAATAGTCAATATTTGGTTAACAAACCACTCTCCCCTCAGAGGCCTAAAAATGTTCGATTCTAGGAAGTTTTTCACATATTTTAAGGCAAGTGTCTGGTTCTGTCATCATCCCGCTAGGTTAATCGGTTTCAAGCAAGAAAACCCAACTTTCATGCAGAAGTTTGATGAAAACAATTTGACCTCGTTTCGCCATACAACGTCATAAGAAGCATAAAGGCACCAAAAACTCATTCCATTATATTTTCAAAGAGCACCATGGTAGTGACCCACCACCGTGTCACGGGTCTCTTGGCAGTCAAATGACACAGTAAAACAAAAACGTGTTCAAACAAATTTTTTGACATCCCGGGACGTTCCTTTTAACACAGCAAAGGAAACTTTTGTCCATATTTATCAAAACTAGAATTTCATTGTTAATTCAAGCAACCTTGCCACTTTCAATTGAAGCAGCACCTATCTAGGTTTCTGTGCAACTCTTCGTCGCAGTGTGAACGGGTAACGGGTATTCGAACCGTGGCGTTAATAAAAGAGTAGAAGGGAGGACTGAAACCGAGAAAAACGGAAGTAAATATTAAGCGGAAGTTAGGATTGGGAATTATTTCGCCAATCCCTCTCGGGCCAACTACTCCAGACTCGTACCCAGTCGCTATTTATTTATCCCCGCGCGCCTCAATCTTCTCTCCAATCTCCAATCTTCTTTTATCCCAAAAAGACATAAACAGTGAATGGTGGGATTGTAAACATGTATAGATTTTCCTCTCCAGGCATGGGCAAAGTCAAGTTTCAGTACACACCTGGTCAATCGTGAAGCACGCACTACTGTAAATTTTAATCATATTTCCAAACATGGTCATGTTCACCAGTGCCTATATTGAACACCTATTGAATGAGATTTTGTGATATCCGGAATAATCAAAGGTCTAGGAGTTGCCAGCCAAGCCGAAGGCTGAGGCTTATAACACTTACCGGGACCTAGATTATTCCGGGTATTACAAAAAGTTAAACTAATCACACATTGTTTTGAAGAAAATAACAACACACCGTCGCACGGAACATAGTTTGACATTGCTCTTGGAAATCATGCATTGTGCGCGCAAACTGCAGACAAGTCAGTGATCTGCCAGCAGATAATTAACTAATCTGTAGGTTGCGCTTATTTTTAAAATAAACTGTAGGCTCTTAGCCAATGAGAAGGCACTCACTAAGTACAACGTCTAATAATTTTGGTTATATGTATATAAATTTATTTCAAAAAGATATCTTGCAAACGGACTTGCAAGGAAAAGAAAAATTCATGCACAGAGTTATTAGCCATTATAATAAATTAAGGATGGTTAAGGACATAAGCATGGATGGGAAAGACAAACTTGAAAAATTTAGCCAAAAAATTCAAGAGGCAGAAAACATGACGTGGCTAAGCTAGTCCTTGATTAAACCCCTCGCCAGTAGAAATGGGTGTGGGGAAGTAGCCTAGTCAAAAGAAGGGAGCCGCAAGGCAGCACGGGAGGTAACCATGACAACCCGGTGGGGGGGAACCAACACCGTCAAGGGTGATATCACTTCATGGGTGATAGATTACTCCTTAATTTTGGCACGAAATTTCAGCGTTAATTTATAATTTCACTTGTGACATTACAAAATTGCCATGGCAACGTTCCATACGTCTCAATGCCAAGATGGCGTAGAAAATTCAAAATGTTATGAATGAAGATGTCAGTGCAGGGCATTTAAAGACGCTTTAGAAAACCTGAACACACGAAAGAGCACATCAAGAACTATTCTAACAAGTATTT